GTCTCTCTCACCCTGCCCTCCAGCGGTGCTGCCTGCCCAAGGGCTTAGTCCAACCAACCCCCGGTCCAGCGGCCTGTGATGACAGCCTCTGGGCGCACCCCTCTCCGTAGTCGGGACTCACGTCAGTTACACCCCAAGCACCCCCTTTGCTCCGTCCAGGCGGCTCCAGCCTCCACAAAGGCCATAAGGGGCACAAATGGTACCTTGGCACGGGCAGGTTTGTCAGACACCCACCCCAGCTGCAGCCCAGGACACATAAAGGAACAGAGCGGGGCAGTGCCTCTGCAGTAAGTTGGTTAGTCAGTTAGTTACACATGCTGCAGACTTTTATTGAGCCTTCACACCACACGCAGCACAAAGACATCAAATACCACATGCACCCAGGAGAACCACTGGATTAGTGCAGCTACGTTAACAGCGATCGTTCAGGTCACAGAGTCAAGGCTGGCACATAACACAAGAACAAGGCATGAGATGCAGGTGACGGGCTGAGGGGCCAGCCTGGCGCACGGCCAGGAGAAGGGGTGTGTGGGTGCGTCTCACTGAGGGTTGTTGACACTTTCACATTGTACTTCAGTGCCTTTCCCTGAGGAGTTTCCTGGCAGAGGGTCCTCCACACAGACCCTGTGCCTCTTCCTCAGCTGCCTCCACATGGACAACACACAGCCATTGCCACAGCCCAGTGCTCACAAACACCCCCTGCCTGCCCTCTGCTACCTCTCCCCCCAAGGCCAATGGCCCTTAACCTACCACCCAGACCCACCATCCATCCCAAAGACCCATCATGCACATCACTACTTACCCGTGTTCCTCCTCACTGCCAGCCCCAGCATGAGTTCATCTGCTCTCTGTTCCCTCTCCTACCTGCCACCTCACCACTCACTGGACCCTTGTTGCCACTTGCAACTGGTGCAGCAGTGAGGGAGGAGGTGATGGACCAGGGCAAGTAACATGTTCAGATACTGCACCAAGAGCTCTGCCTTCAAACATCCCCTGACTGCCCCTGCATGTCTCCAGTGCCAGCAGCTACATTACATCTCTCCTGGTTTGGGGACCACACACTGCCCCACCTCACCCCTCCCATGTCTTACCCATTGCCACAGCCTTTCCACATGCCCAGCTTTCCAATGGAATGGCAGCTCACCACCATCAGCGTGGCACAAACTCTCAACAACCTCAGCTCTTCTCTCTGTGCCCTTTTGCCCCTCTCCAGGGCTCTCCCTGTCTCCCAGGGCAGGCTGAAGCCTGGGCAAAGCCAGCATAGCCCTGAACTGGGTGAAGCACTTGGTTTCTGCTTCGTGCATCCTAAAGTAGGTCTCACCTGCCTGGGCCTCCAGGCCACCATCCTTATTCCCTGTCCAATATGCTCTGGCGTTGCTATTCTCTTGTCTTAAGGAGGCACACAGCTTTGCATGGCCTTGCTCCCCTTTCAGCCCCCTCCCACATAGCATGTCACTCTCTCCTCCCCGGACATCCTCAGCTGCCCCTTCATACACCTTGGGCCACATCTCAGTGAACAGAGGTGGAGGCCAACACCTCTGCTGCCAACCCTGCACCTTCCCTGAAAGGTTGAACACATCCCTCTGCAACTCACAACAGACCATGCTGCCTGAGCTGCCAAAACATTGATGTCACATGGCACCAAACCCCCAAAATACTGACAGTGCGTGGCACTAAACTCACTCAAAAACCAGGCGTGGCAGACTTTGTGACCTGCTCCCACCCCATTCTCACACAGGACTTGCCCATCCTGTACATTTAACCAGCGTACCTACATGTACCTACCCGTGTCCCCCAGAGGACAGACCAGTCTGGTGTGGAGCAATGTGGGGCTGAGGGCTGCTGGTACCTGCGGGTGCTTTGTCCTCCATGATGTCCTTCACTGGTTGCTCGGTTGGCAACCCTGTTCCCTCACTGTCCACCTCCAGCCTCACAAGTAGTACCCAAGGCTATTGGGACAGCTACAGCCCTGATACACCTTGTCACACCTCATGTGGGAGTCTTTCTCATCAAGCACCAGAGACTCAGGCCACCATTTCTGAGCCACTTCTTTGCGCACAGAGCAGGGAGCACCAGGTTGTGCCCACCAGCACTGGCTCTCCACCTCACTGACTCCCACAGCCCAGAACAAGCACCCATCCTCTGCCCAGCCTGCAAAGCACCTCGGGGAAAGGGATGGAACCAGTGAAGGGGAGAAAAATAAACACACCACCTACACGTGTACAGAAGTGTCAAACGCCCTTTAGTGGTAGACAGAGGTGCTGCTGGCCGAGCTCCTGGCTCCACGTACAGCTGCGTGCTGTGCTGCTGCCCCGAGTACCTGTCCCCTCACCGGATATGCACCATCTCCTCCAGGAAGGGGGTTTTCATGCAGCCTGTGCAGAGCTGATCCATCCAGAGTGGAGCCTCGTGCTGCAGAGGGGTGCGCCGGGGGTAGAAGGTGAAATTCACAAGCTGATGGAGGCCATGTAGATGTCAGAGAACCGCACCAGCCGCCGAGAGAAGTACGTGGGGTTGTGGAACGTGCGGAAGATGCTTCCAAACTGGGGGTTGAACAGGTTCTTTGTCAGTGACCTAAGAGGAAAGAGATGGTGCACTGTAGGTAAGGCCACGATCACAGCTTCTTCCCCCTACCATCCCCTATCTCTGGGCCACCCTGTTCCCAGAAGACATTCTGGGATCACCCTAAGCACCCTTCCACCCTGGCTGTGTTGCAGACCAGTCCCTATGCAGCGAGTCTGTGATGAATATTCAATGCACTTTTATTCTTCCCTTGTCACCCTACCTATTATGGGCAGGAACACCCCTGCATTGCCAGGAAGTGCAGCAGCAGACACAGCCCATCATCCCCTCCCAGCACAGGGTGCTGTTACCTCCCCTTTCCGACCCTGCCTTCAACCCAGTCCGACCTCACCAGCCACAGGACTGCACTGCTGCTCCCCACCCAGACAGTGACACCAGCTAGCACCACTGTCCCAAAATAGGTTACAAAACAGACACAGTGCAGGCCTGGGAGCCCCCAAGATGCCTCATGCTCACCTGATCTCCTGACGTTCCTTCATCCACTCTAGCAACACTTGCTTTGACTCCGCATCCTGATACATCTGGAAAGACAGCAGCAGAAAGCCCCACATTGTGTCAGCCCTGCAGGCCACACCTCAGGTTCCCCAGGATTCCACTGTAACTCACAAACCCATGAGTCCACTGCACCAGGAAGAGGATGAGGTATTTTTGACCACACAGGCAAGGTGGTACATCCCGATTCCCATGCTAAGCCCTGAACGCAGACTCAGATGGCAGAATATTACCCATGTCACTCAGCCAGGAGCTGTTTACCTGCATTCTCTCTAGCAGCCCTGTCAGAGCCTGCTGCCAGGTCAGGGAGTGCATGTACTGCTCTGTGTTTATGATCCGAATCTCTGTCTCCAGTTCAGGAACGATGGCTCCAGTCCTCCAGCCGTGACGCAGCATGAGGTCCTAGGGGTCAGGGTGAAAAAATAACCAACCAAGAATTCAGCATAAAGACTGAAAGCCAAACACAACCCTGCTTCCTAAAAGAGTGGGCTGTTCCCATTATAGATTCCCAGGGAACAAGCATCAGTGGCTGATGCCAGATCATGCCAGTAACAGCCATCTAGCTCCTGGACACCAGGCTCAGCTGCATGAAACAGCTACAAAAGTGGGATCCACACAAACTGCTCCCCAGTTCATGGACCAGCACATGGTCATTACCCACAGAAAGTACTTCAGGAGCCCTTTCTCCACTGCTTGCTTCTGCCTGACAGCAGAGTGGGGATGCTTGTGTCCTATGTGTGCCCCAAAGGGCACAGCCTGCAGAGCACCCAGCACAGCATAGCAGAGACCCAAGCACTCAGATCAGGGCCCTGCCTTACATTCCAACACAGCTGCCATCACCACAGTCAGTCACACAGGCTTGCTCCCCTCTGCTGAAGGGCAGAGAGGCCTTTCCACTTACTGCCAGGTCGCTGTACAGATGGTCACCAAAGTAGAGCACTTTGGACCCACGCCAGCCTGTCAGCCTCAGAAAGTCAAAGAGGTTACCCTGGAAGTAAAAGGAGCACAGAGAGAAAGGTGGTTACAGGACAGATGCCTCAATCCTCACTGCCTGGTACTGGACAGCCACCCCAGCAGTGCTGTCCTTATCGCATGGAAATGTGAACACTTTCATGAGACGTCCGCCTGCTCACTCCCCTACCATCTAAACCCAGAGGTTTCTGTCCTTTCCCACCTTATTTCACTTTCTTTCCATGTGAAAACATCCTGTACATCCCTCAGCTTTTCTCAGGCCTCAGAAAAAGGCAGAAACCCTTCCAAACCCAATAGGCAATTCAGGGAAAGTTCTGTGCTCTAGGGCACAGTAAGTCAAGAGGACAAAAAAGGCAACAAAAGGAGGCAGTTTAGAGGCCAAAGTGAAAGACACCTAAATTAGAAAATCCTAAGCAATGGATAGAAAGAACCCCAGGTGTTCTGGGTTCAGAAGCCATTGGGCTCAGGTGATAATGATTTCATCTCACAGGGTGCATCAGAGGTGAGGTGAGCACCATCATGCAAGGCTTTTGGAGTCCGGAGCAGCTGAGGCTGTTCTCACGTCACTGACCACCATCCCAACGTGCTCACAGGAATTGCTTAACCAGGTCAAAAAGCCAGGCAGCTTGGGCAGCTTCACAGCTAAATAAAACAAACCAAACCCCAAAGCACCAGCTAAAGCACAGCACAGAGGCTTTCCAAACATCCATCCACACACAGAGGAGACTTCAGGGACCCCCCCTTCCATCTCCACACAAGTTTTCCACATGAGTCACAACAGAATCAAAACCTACTAGGGAAGGAAAAGGCCCCACCAACGCCAGGCTGGACTGTGCCAGCATAAGCAATCAATGCAAATGTTCAAGCCCCTCAGAAGCATCCCTCCAGCCAGTCTCTAGTGCCAGGAAAGAGCCAGCATGGATACTTAACAGCACCAGCCTGGATGGAAGACCCCATACACAAGCCAGCTCCTACAACAGCCTACAGCCCTGCATCTGGCCACTGGCTGTACGCACTGCAAAGGGTGCCCAGAACCAGGGTGCTGGGTCTCCCACTGCTGCAGCATCACTGAAGCTGTGCAGACTTCCCTTAACAGCACAGACACACAGGGCCAGGCAGGCCTCTGCATTTCTTGGACATGACATTGCTGTGGCTCGCTCAAGCGTAGCTCAGGGAGCCACTGGCAGAGCAAGGAAATGGTCCACAGCCTTGGGAGGAGGATGGTCATTTTGCTGTGCTCTGGTCACCTCAAGCAGCAGTGGACCTGACAACCAGGAACCTTGTGTGGAGCTCCACTGAGCCACACACCTGCTGTGTGACCCCTAGGAGCTGGCTGTCTTCCCCTCCTCAGATCACAGACTAGGGCAGGGATGGGAGCACATACATGTCACAAACAGAAAACACCACATCTATCAGAAAGGCGGGACAAGAGGCCATCACTTGAACTTCCCAGTCCCCAGGGCAAAACACCGATCTCCGAGGTCCCGTTCATAGGAGATAGATACCCACAGCATGACCACCGTACAGCTGTGCTTCAGGGACAGGAACAAGTCAGCTAAGAGGCCTCTGGCAACATCACCAGCACAGCAAGGTCCAAGGCCTCTAACACTTGCCAGAAAGAAGCATATTGTGGCACTCCAAGAAACCAAAAATGCTGGGGACACTGAACTACAGCCATGATACAGCCCTGTCACATACCAAGAATCACAGTTAGACAACAAACTTTATGCAGTCAGATGAACGTTGTGGTGGAGGACAACTAGAGAGGAGAACAAAATCCTACCCATTCCTCTTTCCTCCCTCATCTTTTCCCTTCCTCAATGCACCACTGCTGTGGGGAACAGGAAAAGGAAAGATTTTGGCACATTCTCAAGACCCAGAGGCACAAAATTGCCAGCTCTCATACACACCATTCCACTCTTTTCTTTCTGAAGTTTAAAGGACATTATTACAGCTAAAATGCACCATTCACTGTGGCCAGGTTGTAGGTGGTCAAGAGCAGGATTTAATTCAGCAATAAACCCCACTGCTGAGGTGCACCTTTTCTTCTGAGGGAGTTGCCAACCCACTGGGAAAGTTTGCCCATGGGAGAGAGTCTTTGCATGAGTTCTACTTGCATGTTCCCAGCTACTAGTTCTTGGCAGAGGATGGGACATTAGCAGAGCACTTTGACAGACCCATCGGACAGGCCAGAGGCTTCCCAACAGCACTACCCGAGGATATGACCTACTTTTCTCCCACAGGTCAGGTCCCAGTTACTTGACCGCAATCTCACTAACAGTTTCTTCCTGTGGGATTGGATATAACCAAGAACAAACTGTCCTAAAGCCAGAGGCAACTTGTACTCAAGGGACAAGCCAACTGCAATGAGAACACCCCAAGGCAGCAAGTTCACCAGAGTAATATCACATCCTTTGGACACGCTTGTCCTTCAGGAGAGAGACAGGAGCCAGGCTTTGTACCCCATTTGATCACCCTTGTTTCTCTATTCCCTCCTCCACAAGTCCTCTTTTTCCAGCCTTCTTGAGGTGTGGGAGATCTTTGCGTACACATCAGATTGCAGAAAGCTCTGCCTTCTTACCCTGAACTACCACACTCTTGAAAGCAACTCCACAACAAGAGTTTCAGGACCAGGACACCAGAAGAGCCACAGGAAAGCTGCACTATTGGCCTCACTGAACAATGTCAGAACAGAGCTCCCAGGGTGAAGTTTCATTGTACGCTGGGGCATGTGGCATTCCAGGCTTTTTCAGTGACTTTCAAAACTGTGGATGTCTTATAAGTCCCCACCATTTCAGACTTGCTTCTTACCCCTTATGCACCCATTCACTTTACCTCTTTGTAGATCTTTCCTTTCTCCAGCTGGTTTATTTTGTCCCACTGCAGTGAGCCATTATCATCCAGTTTTCTAAAAGGTCTGGAAAAAAAGTAGGAAAACATCAACTTCTTTTGATTTTTGGTGACTGTCACCCAGCAACCACAACACTTGAATTGGAAAACTTTTCTACCTATGTAACAACTCCTAATAAAAGAATGAGACGTGCCTTTCTGGGCCTTCTGCACTACTTTCTCAGGGGAAGAGAAAAAGTGTGAGAGTGAAATACCTTTTCAAAATGCTCCCACTGATTGTAACCATTCCATGCCAATATCCCTAACAAACCTTCTTGCTTTCTAGATATAGAGGGGGAAAAGAAAAGTAAATCATAATCACTGTCCCTGAAATGCTGAGGGCAAGAAGGCTTTGCCACGAAACACTGTGTGCTGTTGCAGTCTGGCTACACCCCAGCCCAACAGGGACTGCTGTTCCTGAGGGCTTGTCTGGTTACCTTCCACTTGGACAGAAGCAGCAAACCAAGGCTTAAGTTACTTGTCTCCTATGAATATTCATGCTCGATGGGTACATTGGTCCCTCTTGGGATAAGAGTTCCAAACTGGGAGTGCTGGGATCAAAAGCCTTGGTATGAAGCTGCTCCTGCTGCAAGCAGAGATAATCTCATCTGGAGGTACTGTATGATCCCGAGCTGCCCTAGGGCAGAAGGAATCCAGCCTCACACCATGAATGCTACAGAGTATCTGGGCAAGTGGCTTCAAAACTATGAGTGGTCTTTAGTGCACACCTGCATTTTCCTTCAGAGAAAAGATGCCACAGTTCACTACAGCTCACCATCAGGAGGTTCACCTCACCTTGGGTGTATGTATGTGCCATGTCCACTGGCCTACTACATGAGTGGACCTTAGGCACCATGCAACTGTAAGGTTTGATCTCCTAGAAGACCAGACCATCATAGCTCCAGGCTACATTTGTAAGAAAGACACTTCACCTACATCCCATGAAGAAAATCTTTACAAGGTCAGCACAGTTTATAAAGACATTTCATAGTTTACTCCCATTTATGCTAGTGGCCTGGGAAATAGGGGAAGAAAATACATAAATAGAAAAGACTAGACCTCTCCCTCAAGGGCAGTAATTCCTGGCCAGTCATAAGTTGAGGCAGCAAAGCAGGCATAAGCTCCCAAAGCAAATAATCCAAAGAGCAAAGCAAGGACAGCAGCTAGTCCCTTGGCAGTGCCTAATTGATCACAAAACCCAGACACCATGTACAAAGGCTTCTAGAGCTGCCAATTACCAAAAAGCATGTATACAGTAACAAAAAAGAGAAAGAAAGAGAAAGAAAAGGAGAAAGAAGGAGAAAGAAAGAAAGAAAGAAGGAGAAAGAAAGAAAGAAGGAGAAAGAAAGCAGGAAGGAGAAAGAAAGCAGGAAGGAGAAAGAAAGAAGGAAGGAGAAAGAAGGAAGGAAGGAGAAAGAAGGAAGGAAGGAGAAAGAAGGAAGGAAGGAGAAAGAAGGAAGGAAGGAGAAAGAAGGAAGGAAGGAGAAAGAAGGAAGGAAGGAGAAAGAAGGAAGGAAGGAGAAAGAAGGAAGGAAGGAGAAAGAAGGAAGGAAGGAGAAAGAAGGAAGGAAGGAGAAAGAAGGAAGGAAGGAGAAAGAAGGAAGGAAGGAGAAAGAAGGAAGGAAGGAGAAAGAAGGAAGGAGAAAGAAGGAGAGAGAAGGAGAAAGAAAGAGAAAGAATAGGAT